CAATGAGCGGCCCAAGTCCACCGCTTCTGGTCAGGAGTGCAGCCAGAGCCTTGGCAAGGTGGGACACGGGGTTGACAAAGCCTCCCCCTCCCCCTGATAGTAAGAGGGCCTCCCTTCAAAAATCACCGCACATGACACATTTGTTTCCGAACACGTGTGTTTCTTATACTTATATATATATATATATATATATATATATATATATATATATATATATATATATAAACAGGAGCATATATATATATATATATATAAACAATATATATATATATATATATATATGTGTATATACATATATATTTATGTTGCACATTTTTGCCGTCTATAACTGGAATATAGGTCAGCCGCTGCCGTGAGATCAATTCTGCCTGAAGTTTATCGTAAAGAAACTGACAAATCCACGCGTTAACTGACTGCATGATATAAATCGCTGGCGCTCTTCATTTCACAATGGTCCAGCTGACTCTTGTAAGCCTATATAACTCAGAAAACTTCGTGAGGATTTTTATCGGGGTTGTACAAAAGTAGCAGATTCCGCGAATGTAGATTGATGAGCAAAATGGTTCAACGATTTGTATTAACATGGCCAGGTCAACATTCAGTCAGAATTAATCAGTGGTACAGCTCATGTACTTAAGTTTTGGGCATGCGGGCTAGCATATTTTTGAAACAAAAAAAAAAACTCGGCGCCAGGCATTACAGTTTCCGTAGGCCGCACAGCGCCGGCCTCGCGGCTAACACTAGGCCGTGGCGAACAGGCGTATAAAAATAGTGACGCATCTGAAAAAGTACCGTTTTTATAAATTTGATCCAAACCCTTTGAATGGATGGATTTCTGGGATCAGGTCTCACGCTAAGCAGTACTTGTTGTGTGAGCCCTGACCCCCACCATCCGATCGCGTAATTCCAGCCAACGGCAGAATTTAGTGGCGAAGGCTTTGCGTGCAGCAATGCTCGGCACGGTCCGTCCTGCCCTCTGACGTCAACTGACCTTTAGCGCGACCGCTGCCAACGGCCGCAGGCCATACCTGCCAATGGCAAATAGCGAGCGCCATAAAGCGACTCGAACCCATCCCGCACGGGTCGGTGGATCGGAATGCAGGCGCTCTAATCAACCGAGCCACCGGGACGGACATTGGACGGACGGACACCGTTGACCGCTTCTGGGCTCCAAATCATGCATTTAGAGACGTTCCGGGCGAATATTACACCTGTACGGCTTTCAGATTGGTGTCGATAATGTATTGGTCTTTGCAGCACCGCAAAGTGGTGCTGGAATCTGGTTGTGAAACTGGAAGTGTAAAAGTGAAATTTATGCTTATCACGTTGCTGTAACTGTTAATCTGTCCAGAGAAAACCGCCAAGCATGTAAAAAATATCGCCGAGTGAAATCCTTGAGCTGTACGAATTAATTTTTAAAAGCATTCAGAAACATCAATTTACTATAGTCATTGTTGCGCACTCGGCGCCCGCCCGCCCGGCCCTGGCGTTACGTGCAGTGGCTAACGCCGTTCGCTCTTACAAAAACTGCGACCCAAGTCACCGCCATCCTTGCTCCCCGAAATGACGGCCGTGTCACTGGGGCTTTATGACGCACTCAGCTGCTGGGGATACAAGGCACCGGCAGCCTCTCACCCTGGTGGGAAGGGCGGGCGCTGCGGGGAACCAAAGCCCGCACCTGTAGTTTCCGAGACACGCAGTGGTCCACGCATATTCGGGTCAACGCCCTCAGACCCTCCAATCAGGTCCTTGATCGTCGGACCAGGTGGGCCTTCTAGACTCTCCAGGTCTCTTCGAACACTGTTCTGGCCAAGTTGGGGTCCCTTGACAACACAGGGCCCCTGTTTGGCGCTGTGAGGATCCGAGCAGTGTAAATCGTTGACTCCGGCTTTGTCCCTGCTTGGGAAATGGGCCCCGAGGCCCATGCCGCCATGGAGCCGACTGCGCGTTACCGTAGGCGTCTAACCGAAATATAGGCCCTTATCGACTCAGCGGGCCCCTGATGACGTCGCAGGGCCCTCTGGCTGGCATTTGAATACCTGGTCCTGCGAGCCGGGGCCCCTGAACGAGACTTCTGGCCGGCTTTTGGAGCCCTTCGGGCCTTCAAATCTGACCCTTAATCGTAGGTTCCGAAGGGCCCTTCGGGCCCCTCGGAACCTAAGGGGTGCCACGTGCCCACCGGCGCCCTCCCTGACTGCGCTGCTGCTTTTGGCTACCTCTTCTGTGTAGTGAGCGGCCCAGTCCACCACGTCTGGCTACCGCTTCCGTTTGGTGAGTGGCCAGAGTCTCTGTCTTCGGCTTAAGTGGGGGGAGCGGTCGAGTCTCTGCCTACCGCTTCCAAATAGCGCGCCTGCATGGGGCAACTCGCGCGGACCCGGCGTTATGGCCTTAGCCTGGCAACAGGCAGCCTACTCTCTAAAAATACACTCGGACTCGGAGTACCATCAGAGCCGCCAGCCGTGACGTCACGGACGCCGCCCGGCGTGGTGGGCGATCGATGCGCAAACCTGCGCGCGCTTCCCGGCATCGGCCATCAGCTGATCTCGGACCGCCCCGCCGGCCAGCACACGCCCCGGAAGATCATCCGGCGCCGGGTGCCCCGCTGCGCGGCCGCAGGTCTTACGCAAGCAAGCAGAGGCGCTCTGCCAGGATAGCACGCTGTGAGAGTGAAAACGGCGATGATCAGACCAGCGACGAACTGCTCCAGCAGACTAGTCCTGCCACTCACGGTGAGTCGCGACTGGTACAATCTGTGGTGTTTGTGAATGTGCCTGTTGAAGGAGTAAGACCAGACATTTGCTGTCCACACTCAAGCGAAGAATGCCGCCTCAGCAGACGGTGCAGCGGCGCATCCAGTCTTAGTAAAGGCGAGTGGGCACAGGGTTGACAAAAATGGTGAAATGGTGATGGTGAAATCCCTCCCCCCCCCCTTCCTCCTCACCATTCCCAAAAAATGAACCGGATATGACCTTGATATTAATATGGTATGATTTCCTTCGTTTTGTTACTGGTTTTACCACTTGTAATTCAATTTCGTTTGGCAACATTTTGTTGGTTCGCTGTAAGATTAAGTAGTTTTGTTAATATTTTTAATTACACAATCCGAAATTTGCGACAGAATTTTTCGTTGGCTTTTGAATAAATGTAGAACTGCATCTTCTGGCACCTTCTGAATTTTGTAAAGGTGTCAGACAGTAGAAAATGAAATCAATGAAATGGGCTACTATAGGTTCAGCAGGCCGAATCTGAAAAATCTTCTACTTTTGGGGAGGGCCGTTCAATGGCAGAAGCCGTTCGTGAACCGCGGTGCCCGTCCGTAAGCACGTCAAAGGCTTCACCCCTGGCATGCCTACCCAGCTTGAAATGTAGCTTGCTATTCCTTTTGCGGGACTCAGTTCCCGACCTTGCGGGGTGGAGTCCACCAAACAGATGAAATTTGGCGGAGAACGCGTTTGGTTGTTTTTTAGGGGGAGTAAGAAAAGCCAATTTTCTCTGCGCACCCCTCCCCCTCTCGACTCATTTCGTAAAGCTATGCCCTCGTCCACAGTGTAATACTACACCCTCATCTTCCAATCGCAGTTTTACAAGTCTGTGGTGGGTTGAAGTCAGGCATTCTGTTCTTAGGTAGCACCTTGAATGTTTAGTTTTGACACTGTGACTGAAATCGGTAATGGCTGAACACTGAAACCCGGTGCACAGACACCAGGCGCATGCCACACCTACTGACTACGTCCACCCTGCGTATCACCGAATCGTTTGGTGTCGACTGATACTTGGCCAGGGTTAAGCCCCACATGGGAGGCCTCAGTTTACGGTTCAAGGCTTATTTATCGTTAGGTGCACTCGCAGGCATCAGACCCGCCCCCCCCCCCCCTTGATAATTTCTGGATACGCCCGTGGCCTCGCAACCGTCCCGACGTGAACCCGCCCCGCCTGAAGTCATTCCTGGCAGTGATGTAACATGAGCTGGCTGATGTGCCGGTGACAACGGGGCTGAGCCGAGCCGAGAGAGGCGCCAAACCACCAGACATCGACGGACGGGAACCGGAGTTGGGCTATGCAACATGGGGAGCAATACTTTGACCGGACCGCATGACCCTAGGCACCCTTTGACCTGAGCCCGTCTTGCGGCCCGGGCGCCATCCGCCCGCCCCGATTTGAGGTCTGTGTCCGCTCATCGATGCCGCCCTGCATTTCCAGTGACTTAGGCGCCATCACGCCTGGAGCCACGCGGCCCGGCCGAGGCGGGGGCACCGCGGCCGGTAGAGGGGTGGGCGTCGCCGGCGGACCAGCAGCACCGAACAGCGGCTCAGACCGCACGGGACCGGAGCACGTCAGCGGACCAGCAGTACCGAACAGCGGCTCAGACTACACGCGAATTCGCCCTGCCCCGAGCTTGAGAGGATACAGGTCACCGGCTCGGGGACTGGAGCAGACGCAGTCACGAGACGACATTAAATCCTGAAGTGACCTCCCTTCGTCGGCGCGATGGCGCACGAGTGAGTACGCAATGTATTCAATCGATATAAGACTGCTTTGCTGTTTTCTTATTCTAGTAAAAATGAGTTTTACCAAGACTTCTGTGTGTCAATCCCTGATCCAAAGCATGATTATGGTAGCAATGAAAAAGAAATAAGGCGTTATAGTATATGTTAATATCATATAATCATTAATCTCACAATGTTTCCAGAAACGTCTGTTCACGCCGGGAAAATAACAACGGAGTGGATACGGTGACACTTTATCTTACGCGAACCTTATCCTCACTTTTATAGGGTGTGGGACGGGTCGGTACAAGCCTCCTCTTAAAGTTTTCTGTGAATACTTCTCCAGCATGCCTTGGAATTGCGCCCGAAATTTTGGTAGTCACTCGGCTACCCGTTGCACGTGTTTTGGCCCCAAAAAGTGTTCCTAGAATTTCTGGTTTCGGAACAGCGGCGAATTTTTAGAAACGCTGCATGGCGATTTCCTACCACCCACTCACTTGATGAACGAACAGA